GGACGAGGGCCACAATCATCTCACAGTGAACCACAGCCGAAACTTAGTAGACCTAGGCATAGGCACTCATACTCATGGCATCGAAAACACATGGTGGGGAATCAAACGAAGTATGCCTCGTACAGGAATATCCAAAGATCTCTTCGGTAGCGACCTACAAGAAATATAAACGAGCGTATCGCCAAAGTATATGATGTTCGAAAGACATCATAAAGACTGAGCTCCTTGTGCCTCTGTATGTGCTTGTGCCATTAACCCCAAGTTAAAAACATTAAGTTGTGACATGATCACCAAACACAACAAACCAAATGGGCAGGTTTGAACAAGAATCACATTGCATCAGATGCCTCCTTGGAGGCTGTGTGTTAAAAATTTGGATAAGCTGTAATACTTGCAGCATTACGGCATAAAACCAGAATACACTGAAAATACTCAATCAGTATATGTATTTTCACATCAAGAACTGACGCAGAACAACTCGGCAGCCAGAAGACCTTTAATCTCCATTACCTTTCTTACCCAAATTCAAATCATTTCAACTTGAACTTTCATTGTAAAATAGAGTATTGCTCAACAGAGAAGGAATGCTTATTCTCGAGCTGAAAGAAGCATCTATCTTTCTAGATCTCTCTTTGCATACTCCACAAGTGAAACTCAAACGAGCCAACTGGTACGGAGAGCCAATATTGAGAAAAGAAACAACTCAAGAACGAAATTAGAGAGCTCGAGTAACAACTGCGTTAAGTTTCATTTTTAAGATTCTTCGTCTGTGTAATAATTAAGTAGATCGTTGGAAGTTGATTAACCCGCCTCGATTGGCAAATCTGCTAACTGCGGGTAACTCATTCTTAAATTTTGTGATGAAATGAATTTTACATGTGTGTGAGCAGTCACATTACAAACCTAGCACAAACCAACGCACGTAACAAAGCCTGAATTTATATATTTTTCTTTTATTTAGTACTTTCTTTATCACTATTTTCTGTTTTGTTTATCCTATGTATTAATACTCTCCATTACCTTAACATTTTTTATACATATACGCTGTATTTGTCAACTAGGGTATAGTATTAGCTAATCTTTCTCTTTGCCCTTTTCCTCTTCATTTCATTGTATTGCAATATGATGGAGAAATAAAATAACAAATAAACCTAAAACTAATGAATTCGGCAAAGACGCTGGCGAAGTGGACGCGTACCGGCATTTCGCTCCAGAGAAAAAAATATAAAGGGAAAGGCGCGCAGTCAATGATAGTTCAAATATGTTTTTTCTTTATATCGAATTGACTTCTATTTAGAGTAAAATAGATGCCAGTGGAAATGACCTTGAACCTCTCAATCTCTCCAAAGCAATAACAGGGCGAAACGCGCCAAGCTAGCATCTTCAAAACTGGCGGTGTGGTAGAGCGTGAGTTAGTTTATTTTGTAAGAGATTGTAGAATTGATAATGGTAATTTTCTGTCACAAATAAAGCCACCAGATATTCATGGTTCTTCAAAAATTGCAATTCAATACGTCTGTGGAAAAAAATTTGACCCAAGCCATTCAGTTTCTTTCAAATTCAACGCATGCAACTGAGGGTGCAATGTTGACAACTCAGATTCTTTGCTCTCAGCGTCATTGACACCAGAATAAGCAAATACGTAGCTCGTAAATTACAGTTAAGACGATGAAAGGGCTCACCTAAACCAACGGAAACATGTTCCTCCACCACTCTGCCCTTTGCAGTCCACAGTTTAGACGGGAGCAACGATAAGATACACCCAATGCAGTTTGCAGACTTCTGATAGAAAACGCGGGTGAGAGCGCTGACTAACTTTGTTCACTTTTCCCATGGGGCCGGACCAGTCAAAACGTGTTGATTGTACCCGCTGACTCAACAATAGAACAAATTAGATGAGGGTGTCACCTTGCGACTGTATTGTGAAATGTTACCAATGATAATTGCAAATAAAATCTACACCTCATTTTTTGTAGAAGTTTCTCAACGTTTTTACAGCATCGTCGGTACTAACCGTGTGACAAGAGTTGCGAAAAAAGCATACGTTATAACGCGTACAATTCTTTGTTTATAGAAAACAATGGCAAAGACAATAGCGTACTATTGGGAATCTGCGTAATTTTGCGTTGGGTGTGTGTTTGTGTGAGCCTTTTTTTCTGAATCTCTTTTTTAAATGTAGTCAAAATCTCAGTTTTTAAATTCAGTTCAAAGTTTTAACCGTCGAAGCTATCAAAATGTTATATTCTGTCGAAGAATGTGTTTTCTTGTTCCTTTTTTTGTCGCAACAGTTTTTTTCTTTTTTTCTTTGTCACGCGCAGTACTTTGACTATAATGACTACCGTAGTAATCCTTCAACAAAGGAGAAAAACATTTTTTTCCACAGCCTTAGTTAGTTTATGGACTAGCTGTATTGTTTCGTAGGCTCGCGCGAGGCGACTTGTTTAAAAGAAACCTATGACACCCCACCTGTAAAGGGAACTACAATGAAATGGTGTATCCAAACGTTGTACGAGTTAAAACTGGGACTGAATAGCACCTCTATTCCTTGGCCCACCCTTCAGCCCTCTCTTCCACGCTTCTTTCTTTTACTTTAGAGAAAGACATTTGATATAAAACTAGTTTCTAACTTCTACAACGTGTTAGATTCCCACTGCATTCAGACTTTCTTTATTCCTTTTTCCTATACCGAGGACTTAATGTGGACTGAACACAACTGGACTGAATGCTGTATTAGAACTTCCGTTTTGATGAAGCGAAGCGTCCAAACTAATGTGCTTAATGAAAAGAAAAGCAGAAAGGGAAAAAATGGAACGCGTAGTCCAGAACCTTGTTGTACAAAGTTACTGACTGTTTTTTTTTTCTGCAAGAGACGAATGGTTTTTCTTAATAGAATGAGGCATGAGAACTTGTAAATTAAAGGAAACTTGACACAAGAGAAACGATTTGGAAGATATGAAATCTAAACGCATATCTTTCCTAGTTAATGAGCGAGAAGAAAAACTTGACAAGTTCTTACCCGCCATATTCTAAAATTACATACCACGTTGATTTTCAAATGCGCGAGCCATAGCTCGCGCACGCCGTGTTTGTAGCATCACAATGATAACTCTACATACGTAGACAAGTTCAGTTGAGAACACTGTGTAAACTGCGCGTCCAAGATCCTTCGGAGATTTTAGTCACAAAGTTACCAGTTGGAAATGGGCATTTCACAATTTTTCAGACGTTTGAACTGCTTTGCTTCTGCTCAAAGAAACCAAAAGTCGAAGTAAGAATCATTTCGCGGACCTATTGAGTGCTCTTGTCTTACAACTTTATTTCTGTTGTTTTAACTCAATCGATTCTCTCTTGTCGCCCACAGGAGACAAATGGAAAAAGAACTCTCAAGCATGCAAGAGTTGATCAGAATACTTGAACAAGATATCCAGATCACAAGGTGATGAAAACAGTAGAACTTTTATATTATTTGGGGATCTCGCAGTAACATTTGAAGGAAGTGAATAATTGACATTCGGAGTGAAGGATCCTCGCAATGTCCCTGTCACATTTAATTGTGCGCACAGTTTGGATATGAAATTAAGTTTTGCGTGCAAGTCGCCGAAGAGTTGGTTGTTTAAAAGTTCATTCAGTTGAGATAATAAACTTTAAATTTCTGTTTCTAAACAGGAATACTGTTGAGTTGTTCAAGCAGCGACAAAAAGTAGTGGAGGAGAAAGAAAAGATGAGAAGAGACACCAGATACAATCTGATGGCTCAAGTCGAGGAGATTGAGAGTGAACTGGGACAAGCATTGGAAGAGCGCAAGGAGCTGATGTCACTTATTATGTAAGTAGGACTTTAAAAAAAATGCAAGTAGGACTTAGGTGTATTTAACTCTGAAAATGTAACGAGTGAATGAATGGATGGAGCGACAGGATGAGATGAGACGGAATGGGAAAGTCAGGGTCGAAGTAATTCTAAGAAACCCCTTAGTCATACTGACAACAAGCGTTAATACATTACTTTTTCTCTCCACAGTGAGTGCGGAATTCGAAAAACAGCCCTGGAAAAAGATGTTCAAGCGATGGAAAAGAAGGCGGAGTTTTTCTGGGAAGATCTGTATGATCCATTTCCAGTTTCCAAAACGAGCGCCAAAACATGGCAGGAGAATCTGCGTCCTGTGCGTTCAACGAGCGACCTGAACAAGGCGGTGCTTAAGCCACCCCTGTGTTTTGCACAGGACGCAGATGATCTCCAAGTGTGGGATGTACCTTATGATGCGAGTGACGACGAACTCTTTGCAGAAAGACTCAGAAATGAAGTTTTAATCACAAAAAGCAAAGAAACCTTCGTTTAAAAGGAAACATTATGAAAAGCGAATCTGTTGAAGTTGTAAATGAAGCTTTTAAATTTGACAATGTCCTTTGGACATTTCTTTCGGTTGGCCTGTACATTTGAGATAAAGCATCACCCTTATTGAAAGGAAAATAAACTGATTTCAAAAGCAAATGTGTTTATGACGTGTATAATTGTGTCCCATGTTTTGGGTAATGACACGGAGCTCAATCAGGTCGCAGCTTGAAAAGGTATGAAAATCTAACTTGATTTCCAGTAAATTCAGTTACAAAGGACCCTTGCGGCTCTGTAATACCCTTGATCGAATTTCTTCCAAGGTATTCATATCAGCATTGCAATTTACAACGCATCCATCTACCATCTTAGAATGAAAATTTTCTGAAGGTCGGAAAATGTTTAAGCACATTTGTTGAATCCCTCTCGAATATCCAAGATTAAATTATTCAGGGTTTGCAACTGAAAAAATGAGGAAACATAAGGCATTGACCGACTGCAAAATGAAAGATGGCCAGGAACACGAAGAATACTTCATCTAACACAGCAGCAAGGCTCAGATAATTGAAGACAAATGCTTTGCTTGGTGTAGCAGTAGATCGCCTTTAACCTTTTACACCCTGATATCAGTGTTCTCCTTACTGTTCTCTATACGTTTCCTTAGGTGCTGACAAGGAGAATTTGTTGAATAATCAAGAGCTTCCTTAGTTAGTGATCATATCCTTTATTTTCATTATGTTAATGCCTTTTTTCAGGGGTGATATTATAAGGAGAAATTAGATGCTGGTCAGTCTTAGGGGTCAGAGGGTTAAGGTCATTCACCTTCGTTCTTGAGAGTCATGGTCACTGTGGCTCAACTGATGTGCCAGTTAATGGTAGAAAAAAATAAGTGCGTGCCGGAAAATTTACTAACAAATAAGTTCCACAACAAACTTTATTGATAAGATTTCCAAAATTAAGCACCTGAAATCACAGACTGAAAGAGCAATTTCAGTTCCTTTACCACTTTTATATTCCTTTAAACATCAGACTTACAAAAATATAACTTAACAACACGGTGAGACTTGGAGCCAGTAATTGTAGGACACTGATTTCATTGGACTCCAGTAAGTAGAATGATTATAGTTATTGTCTATTAATCAATCCTAATACAAGCCCTAATATAATCCTCTTTTTCATGAAAAAACATATTCATATCATTGATTGCAAAAATTCATGAAAGAAATCTAAGTCACCAAAATAAAATATAGAAATGAAAATGTTTGCTGGCATTTCTTTGTGAATAACATGCAAATTTCCAAAGTAACACAGTCAAACTTTCCTGAGGACAAACTGCAGAGTACAATACTTAATTTCAGCCCTCCGAGTTCCTGATATTTCTCTCAAAGATTGCATACTTATCATCAAAATTAAGGTCATGCCTGGCACCTCAAGCTCTACACCTAGTGGCATTTTAACATGGAAATATAAAATGGAGATATAACAACATTTCTGAAAAAAAAATATTAAAAAAAATTCCAACATTTCTTTTTAGAGGCTTGTAATTACTAACAACAAAACATCTTTGTTGGTTAATGACAATGAGTCTCCAAGAATTCCACATGTCTGAACATTTCACTTTACATCCTGTCTTTTTTAATGTCTATTAATTAAACTTGAGTCTTTATCACCTTGTTACAACAAACAAAAAATTAAGCCCCTTGGACTAGGCATCACCTTCACCAATGCCTGAAAAGTCATCAAATACAGTTATCATCCTAATGATTATTAAGAACTACTGTGTGTTGAGATGTTGACATCACATCCCAATATATGAATAAAACATTTTTAAAGTTTAACTATACATCCAATTGTTTCTAAAACATATACTAATACATCTTAAAGTTCATATGATATGAAATCTTTTGTTTGCAATATTTGAGGTTCGAGTCTGAATTTGCTCCACATTACTGTGTGGTAAGATATCCATTTTATCCTCTCCTATTCACTGTAATGTATTGCAATGTCTAACTGCTAAGTAAAGGGGGAAAAGAAAAGATAGTTATGATTCATAATTTTAGTTGCCCTTGTTCCTCAAAAATGGAGACTATTCTCTAAAAAATTCTCGGTTCTGAGGTGCTGAAATTCAGGACTATATCTTCTATGATGAATAACAAAAAAAATCATTTCATAATCATGTACTTTAAAAGCATGGGTCAAGATGGTCTTGGTCGCAGAATAAGTCTTCCCTTCTGAAATGAAAGAAGAGGACATTCAATAAAATGGTACACATTGTAATCCACATTATTACCTTCCAAAGAGCATGCATGAAGTAAAGTGTATACTTATCTCTAAGTCTGTCAGAATTTGAGACTTTTTAAAAAAAGAGAATGAAAGGTATGGACACCCGATTAATGATCTTCAAAAAAAAAATTAAAACTTCCCTTTCCTTTTTTTTCGGTCCAGGTTATTGGTCTTGTTCTTGCTTTAAAGGTAATGTCAAATTGTAATACATAATGATTATCAACAGTAATAATGACTCTACAAGGAGCCTTTTAACACAATTAAAATTGCGCTTGTCTTCCAAGTTCAACATTACTGTTTGTTGTCCAATATCAAGAAAACAAAACAATTTTAACTGCCTAAAAAAAGGTTTAAAAAATCACATTCACCACTTTACTGAATAACAAAGCCATTGAAAACTAAAGATCTTACCTCATCACAGGACATGTTATAATCCTCTAAAACTACTCTTGTTCTTGCTAAAATTCTATTGCACACAAGTTAAAGAAACACAAACGAAATACAAGGGTCCAACAACTGTGGATGGGAAACCTCCATGTATTGCATGCAGGACAATTGTTTATAACTAACACATGATTCTGGAAAAGCTCCTCTTCCCTCTACATCACAAAAATAGGGTAAACAAATTGTCAGGGTTGTCAAAAAGATTAAAAAAAAAAAAAGATTTTCTGTCTTTTTTTGGAAACTCTGAATGGTGCTCTGGTGGCAGTTGCTTGACTCCTGTAGGGAGAGGTAGGTATATTCCCTAAGAGAGGTATATTTATGAAACAATAATTTTTCAATCCTCACCATTGATAAAAGTTTACGCAAAGTGGTAATACTGACCATGTTTTGATATTCTAATGAGTAACTTAACCCTTTTAAAATTGTCCTGAAATGTGCTGAAATTTGTCTACAGACCATGCCACATTGAATCTTGCATGGTTATCTGGCCGCCAAAAAGGGAGACTTTGCTATGCTGGGGACATTGCTGAGTAAAATAGTTTTACTGATACAAATATTTTATGCAAAAGTTTGAACTCTAAGATTCCAGAGAAGGATACATTTGAGGTGCCATAACTCTTCTATGAATTCCCAGCATAAATAAAATGAATAAATTACAGCAACTGATTGTGAAAAATTTATGATGCCACAGATACTGCAGTAGTGAAGGATGCTGCAAACAAGGTCATAAAAGCAAACAGGTTATACTGACTTTTTTCAGCGAGGAAGGTCAAAGGCTTGATGGATAATTCTTACTTACAATATTTATAACCTAAACATAAATCATATAATCCAAATTGTTACAGTTGCGAAAACACATTTCAAAGGTGCTTGGTCTATGCAGTCAATGGTCCAATCAGCCATGTGTCCTTCCCATTGAGCAAGGATAATTTCCAATTAAAAAAAAAGTACACATTGTCACATTGTCTTTTCTCTGATAGAAGCTGCTCCGACTTTCTTGATGGTGTGCTTTCTTAGCAGGGTGATCATATATTCTTCATGATTATGAAATATTGGTTGTAATTTAAAAGAGGGCATGCAAGAATTATGAATTTTTTGATCAGCCAAAATGAGAGTTCTGCACAACATGTGACAATTGCCAGATATGATATGAAAAACCCAATTAAAATTGTGAACTTGCTAATTTGCATGGATTTTCACAGTGTCAAACCTACATGTTGATTATCTGTGATTAATCCCCAGGCTCCTGCAGCGGTTGCAACTGACGACAGAACAAGAATAACTGCAAAACAATTAAAAAATTGGTCAGACTTAATTTACATCGAGGCGGAATTTTCAAGTTGAAGGATTCGCCGAGACAATTAACACCCCTAACTGTCATATTCTTCTGAGCATTACAACACGTTCAGAAACATTCAGGACCAATTTTACATCGCGCATATTTTTACCATAACTTGGACAATCAGAAAAGATACTTAACCTTAAATATTGATCAGAAATACGCTTTAAAACTGTGAGTTCGATTTTAAAAGACTTACGTCTCCATTTGCCGGTTTGTGGACCTAAACATTGCACGTACTCCGTGAGTCTTCGTTCAAATGCTTTCAGATCTGCAAACAAGCGGAGACATTTGCGGGAAACGGGAAATCCTCACTCAATTTTTCATAACATCAAAGGTGAAGTGAATATTCTGCAAGTCACTTACCTTCGGTAACTTGCTGGCTCGCCATGACAGAACTTCCATTTCTTTCATCACCACAACGCATGCTCAACATTTGCCGGTAGATTTTTGAGCCCACAAGTGTGATTGGACAGAGAAGTATAATCCTGGCGCACGCGCTCTGCGAGGCACCGAGAATCCAAGATGGTGTCGTACTGGAGGCAGGCTGGTCTAAGGTAAGGATATCTTTGATGGTTTTGGTTCGTTTGTTAATTTCAAGAGAGGGAAACATGCAAATACTCTTGTTTAACTATCCTGTTTGGTTGTATTCGGAAAGTAACAAATATTTGGTCGGTATTATGTGAAATTTAACGACTAATATTTGCCTTATGACGTTAAAGAATTTGTAACCCTCTATCATAGTTCATACTACAAGAATCCCTCTGCTTACAAATACGATACTCCTATGTCACACTTTTTGGCATGGGTTAGAATGATAAAAGCTTGGTGTCTTACCAGGTAGGCTTGGGCAAAAATTTTCCCAAAAGTGGGTTGTACTGGTAAACAATGAAGACGTAGAATTGAGATTGCTCTATTGATGGAAAAAGATTAGACAATGTTCCCACCCTTGAGATGAAAGAACCTCAGAGAAATATCTCGATCGTTTGATTGCGGATCTTTTTACATCAGAACGATGTCTCCTTTTAAATCATCTCAGATCCTGATGCACCAGTGGAAATTATACATTTCTCAGGTTTTTTTGAATGCCAAG